GTGAAGTCCAGCTTGAGATTGAGGATTTCGGAACAGGAATGATAGATGAATGATGAGGGTGAAAGGTGATACATCCCGGCACGCTTTTTTTTCTTCTGTTCACGCATCCTCGTTCGAGAGTATGGCATGCGCTATCGTACCATGCTATCATTTTATAAGGAATAGAGACATGGTAACATAAACTGGAACTGTTTCCCTGCAAACGCGTTGAAAGTTTGTCTGATCAGGAAGAAGCAGCGCTGCTTGACGGTTTCTCATCTTTCAAGCCACTGGGAATCGGAGGGGACATGTGAGCACAGTCGTACTACCATCACCACTTATATGAGTTGAGATATTCCGTAGAGATATAAGCAGGATCGACTCGATCGATGAAAAAAGAGCACCATGCCTGATTTGCGAAATTGTCTGGCGAATAACAGCACGGGTTTGTGTCAAGTCGTGCGTCCGAGGGTGCGCGCGGCAAATTGCGCGGCGAAGTTTGTGGTGGACGACTGCGGCGTTCATCATTGGGGCCCAAATCTGAAGTAGGGTGGTTACCAAGGTCAGCTGATCCTACTCTTCTACTGTACTTCAAAATTGAGCTCAAAAAATAGGCACTAAAGTCGTCAGAATAGGTATAACTTCGCCGCGCAATTTGCCGCACGCGCCCTCGAACGCACGACTTGACCGCCCCCCTAACAGCACAACCAGAGCCTATGCAAGATCACGATCTTAGTTTTTAGGTGGGTAGGACATTCTCCTTGAGAATAGTGCTCCCCTCGACGGAGGTCGCTGCCGTTGTCATGTGTGAAAGCGCTAAAATTGAGGCAATAGAACGAGGAAAGCCTGCAGAGCGACCCGCTTTTTTTCTACTCCAGGATGGCACCTGACCTCACTTGTCGAAGATGGCTCGCTTTAGTCTACATGAACTTAAGTTGACCTGAAGTCTCACTTGCGCTTGTACGCTTTTCCAGAACACCTAATTCTCGCGTTCTACTATGGAGTCAACTGACTTGATAACGACTTTCAAAAGTTCTTCAGTCGTCATCCTCATCATTCCTGAAAGCAAGCCATTGGCTGACTTGCTAGCTACTGGCTAACTAAATTTATCACGTTTATCATAATGGTGATACCATGTTCTTTCTCTGTTTTTTGGAAGAAATAAACAAAAATGCTAACTTGTGAGCAGAATGTTTTGAGTACTATTGTTTGAGAGAGTATGTTTAACACTGTGGATAGCAAGATGTCCGACCTCCGTACTTTTTCTGCGGGAATCTGGCCGCGGTGTCTCGAGGTGGGGTGTGGTTCCCTGCTGTGGTGTTGTTCCAAGTCGTGCTACCCATCTACTAGCAGGTGTTGCCTGCGTAGGTTCTGGTGGAAGCCTGAAATCTCTGATGTTTATATCGTTTTACTGACTTGTGTTGGGAACAAGCCCCTTCGACCGTAGTGTTTTTATAGGCAGCTTAGGTAAGAAAAGAACATCACAAATCTTATTGTGTTAAGAAAGGTAAGGCATCGACATTCCTCCACTTATTGTTACGCTGCTCTCAGTCAGTTCAAGATGTTTGAGAACTTATCGATAGATATTGACAACCGGCAGAACAAACTCATAAGTTTGAAATTTAAATTTAGAAATTGTTCAGCTGTGTTAATATCTATCAATACTTATGCGTTTGTTTGCTGTTGTTTGTTTGTAAATTTTGCGATGTTGCTTCGATTGATATGTTTTCTTTTCCTTTTTTCATCCTAGTCCTTTTCGACAAAATTATACCAAGGGATAAGTCGCGATTGATCTTGCTTACCTGTACTGGTCGGAAAAACTGGTCGAAAAAGTACCCTTGCAGATATGACATCAGATTGCCTGTGCAGTTCTTGAAAGCTATTTTGCGCTGCGACAGCTTTTGATTCTTGCTCTACAGTGTGATATTGTGCTCTACACATATCGCAGTAGCAATAGAAATTCCAAGAGTCAGCGAAGCCTTTTAGTCCGTTCAGTCATTCGAGAGTTCTTTTAAAAGTAAACTGTCGTTTGTGCAAGCAAGGTTCCTCTTATTTGCTCCTTCCTCGTAATAAACATCCCAATGAACCATCTTCTTTCTGACTCATGTTAAAGGGTAATAAACCCATTGATCCTGACACCCATATTGGTGTATGATGCATCGGCTTCACAGCAAAGTTTCTCCCCTCACCAAAATCTTGATCGATTCATCCTTCGAAAGGAAACCTAAATTCTCGTGGCAAGGAGCTTAATACTGTGACCTGTAAATGCAGACATAAGTGATATAGCTAACAGATTGTTTCTCGCTGAAAATGGTGGAGCACCTCATTAAAGTTGCTGTCGTAGCCAACGCAAAAACGCTTGTGGTGAGGAAGGTCTAATTTACCATAAAGACCAAGAAGAAGCATATGTTGAGATCGGAAGAACGATATTCATTTGTGAGGTTATTCGAATTCAGTTGTTACTCGAAGACACTTCCTCTACAGAGTTATCAGAGACGTGACTAAAGAAGAGGGCATATTTGATGAAGTGCATTATTTTACTGGTAAGTATTTTACTTACCTTGTTTGTGTCAATGTGTTTTTTATGGTTTATTTAGGTTAGTGATTTCTACTTCGAAGATGTCCTGCACGGCCACACGATCACAAGCGTGGTCTCTATTTATCAGAGACCGCGCGGAAAACCGCGCACGCACGCCGAACGTCGGTACGTGGGAAAAGATCGATAGCATTCGACACGTTCGTCTTAATTCGTAAGAGCATTTTTATCTTTCTTTCTATTAGTCTAGAGCATTGTAAGCATTCTGCTTGATCCTTTGAACAACAGGAGCACCTCATCTTCTTCCTTAGCATTTAGATTGATCACTGGAGCATTTATGCATATTTTGGTTTCGAACAACTTTTCGAATTCTATACTTCCTCATCGAATAAATCTTGAGTCGATTAAATAATCGTCGACGTTATCTAGGGCATGTTTCAATCTTCAGGATACCTTGTTCATCCCGCTATTCCAGGATTCCAACGATTCCGTCAAAAAACTTATTCAATTTCAATTTAGATTTGAAAGCAATCGAGAATTTCTTGATCTTGCTACCGAATGAGCAATAATCAGAAGGCGTTATGTCCGGTTGAACTTGAATTCCCAGCACGAAAATTTACTACGAGTCATAAACATGCTCAAAGAGTTTTGAATGATTCCTTGTGAAGGAGTGCTCGTTGTATTTTTTGAAATGTTTCTACCATCTTACGATTTTGGTGGGAAATTCAAAGTAATTCTCTTAATTCAAGTATTGGCCTAACGCTGTAAAGTAATGGTCTTCATAAGAGTCCTGAACGCAAGCCGAGATGATTCACTGTATCCAACAGGTTCGATCCTTCTGGCAAAACAATGACCGAAACTCATCGAAGAACTACCCTCTTTACTGAATACTCACCAGGCACTACCCTCAAAGTTGATGAAATCCTCTATCGTCACAAGCGACTGTCATTAGCGAATGAGATTTCTCGATGTGTCTTGAACTAATGACAGCTCGTACATAGCTCGCAGTGCGGTAAGTATGGCAGCAGGTCACTGTTCATAGACTGGCACTCACCTCTCATCTCGAAGTTCATTTGCAAAACACAAAACGCTGAAGTTTCCATTTCCTGTTCAATATCGTGCGCTTCACATCAAAATTATGGCCTCCATGTTCCTCAACATTATGACGACCGAGTGCTACCAAAAGATTTCCACGCTTTATACTAGCTAGATATTCTTTTACCCGTATAGCCGGTTGCCTTCCTATCTCTTTCATATAAGTCGATCCACACGTCCGATATTCCAGCTGGTAGATCACGCCTATATGCAGCCCTCGATCCCCTGTTTTGCCGTAGGGACATATAATACAATCGTTTGTCAAGCCGTATTTTCAAAGAGCCGGCTTCGAGTTGGCTTTTGGTTGACACTGCTGTTAGAAATATTCACCAATGAAACAACATTTTGCATGTCACTCTGAAAATACTCTGCTGTGCCGCAGAGCAGATGTTACCGAAGAAAAAGGAAGAAGGAGCGGTAATCTCGTTACGACATCGGTCAAGGCATATGACGCTTGACCGCATAGATCGAAAATCCTCATTTTCTAGTTATTGTTACGATCCAGTGTCCCCTCCAATGTCGCTTTCCTTTGATAATCTAACACCGTACGTCGTGGACTAAGGCAAATACAAAATAGAACTGATTGCGGATTGGTATTGGCAAAGCAGTGAATCAATGAAACTTGACTGGTATCGGAATAAGTTGAAACTAGACAAAAGGTGTGAGACAGTCATATATCCTACGTTGAGGGTGCAGACAGATTTTACATGAAGCATTTCGCGGAAAAGTGAGTAGCGACAGCCTAAGTTAAGTATAGACTGGTCCTATTTCGAGGGATCGAAACAATTGCTCGTTACGCACTAGATACTTTGACTGGAGCAAGTAAGGAACCGGTTCGGTTTTAATTCGATCATTCAGTTAATGTACGTGAAGAACTAGTGATAGTATAGAAGCCTCAGCAGGCACAACAAGGTGTAGAAAGAAAGCCATTTTTTGAGATAAATCGGGTCTTTTTGATAATAGCTCTAACTTCAGATCCACGTCCTTTCAGCAAAGAGCGTGAGCCCACTTCAAATATCTGGTCAGATCGAGGTCAACGATCAACTTATGGCATGCACAGTCGAAGTAGCAACCGGAGAACTCTTATCGAATTCGCCCTTACCTTCAAGTGCATTAGATTGATTCTTTGAACTTCCCCGTTCGACTGCATCATCGACACACACACATTGAGAGTTTTTGAGTAGCTCCTCTACTGCCCAAATTTACGATATTATCACCCCGTCATTTTTGAGATTTGCCATGGGATTTTATCGTAGCAGATGACTTCATACCACCTTCGCAAGTGCCACTGATGCAGATTTCATCGTGACGGGACTTTCAGCAAAAAGCACCACGGATTAGTAATCCTCAAATAGTATATGATGAGGTCGGACGATATCCTGACGAATATCTACGGGCACCAAGCAGCTGGAGGGCCACAAACTTCGCAGAACGCTACCTCTACTTCTGGGACGATTACGTTACGTTTCGAGTCAGCCTGCATAACAGAAAATTCCTTGAAAGCGCCGTGGGTCCTAAAAAGCAAATGATTTGTGAAGGATTGGGCTGGAGCTGGTCTCATCCGAGCAATACGCAGACCTAGCGCGCTGGGCCACGCTTGACTTTTTTTTGTGAAAGCCATGTCAAGAGAAGCTGGAGTCGTACTATTCCGTGGACAGCAGGATGACATCGGCTTAACAAAGGTATACTATAGATACTCCACAATCTCCCTGAGGGAACAACCGCACAGAGAATTGTCTTCGAAAGCGACATCGATGCTTTCTACCCACAAAGCCGCAGGGCAACACGGTTAATGCCCTTTTGAAATTCGGAAGACATGATTAACCTAGTAACAGGAGTCATTTCACGCAAAGCCCCGCAGAACGATTCTAGAGAGCCACCCTTTAGCAGCACATTGAGATTTCAAGACTGCTTAGGGTAAGCGGTTCCCGGATATGGAAAAAATTCGGAGAATGTGGCTATCAAAGGCAGAATGTCATCACTCAGTACTAGCTGGATTACCTGGCGAACTCCAGACTCTCATCTTTCTCGTGTCAAAGTTTACCCTTTGCCTGTATTAGCCTACGTCCTATGTTAGGGTGACTTGGTTTATTTTCCACTTATACCTATTTAAGCGTGTAATTTTACTCAGATTATGATAACTTCACGCACACTTCGCTTTCGCTCCACCCTACCTGCCTCCTGAACCCCTACTAAATTTGAACGCTTTGGTCCACGGGGAGAGGAGATATGAATTCCTGGTGAGTTACACATACACACGGACACACAAACCAGATATTAGGACGTTATATATAAATATATCATTCATGATCATCGACAGTCAAGAACTGAGAAGCTTAGTTGCCGGGCTCGCTCACTATGCCATTGTCCATCAAAAACTACAGGTTCCTTTCGCGACAAGCATGTGGCCGTGCTCTCGCAGCGCAGTGGAAGCTTCTTTTTTCAAAGCGAGTCGCTGTAGTGGATAGCCAGTCATGGCATTCTCACCTACGGGTGAGCCCTACAACAGGGTTATGCGTCCTTAACAAGCGTCCATCCTTAACAAGGAGTATAGCCGCAAGATTATTCGGCACCCGTGATAGGGCACGCTCACTTAATCATATGCAGATAGATCGGCCCCGACTTGTTTATATACATGATGTGGAATAGAACTGTTGTTTCGCTCCAGGCTACTTGTTTTCTTCAAATCATATTCTTCTGTCTTTTTATTTCTCGCCGTTCTGCTTTTTTTAGTTAATTGTTTTAAAGGGAGGTAATTAATAAGTCCGACTACTGTGATGACAGCCTTCTATCGATCTCGGAGTCGGACCAGCATAGAATAAAAAAAATTATGAGTGTTTTTATGGTTGTGTGTTATCCGCATTTTTACCCCTGTGCAGAATAAAAATAAACTTACGCTTCTGACGTTCTTGCACGAATCGACATCATCATAGCATTTTCTGCCGAAATTGCTTGCATCTATGCAAATATTTCGTTGTCTGCCCATTCGATTTTGTATGCAATTCGAATTTTCTACGCCGAGATGGCAAATTCTTCTTCAGCAATTGTTCATGCTTACCTTGTAAGCCATAATTTTCAACCCCAGCGCATCAACGTTCAGACGAAGTTGCAAATTGGTCTCTTCCACGTTGTCTTCGAGGTTTTCGAGGCCTTTCACAAGCCATTTCGAGTCAGCAAGATTTCCATAGACAATAAAGCTGTGGTTAGTCATCTAAAGAAAAACGTTCAATTCATTCACCCACTCATCAAATTACTCAAGGGGCTAATATTGAATAAGCAACCATCTGAAACATTTTCTTTGCATTCCCTCGACTAATTTTTATCTTTCAAGTTCTAGATGCTCGCACAAAATTTATTTGAATGATCGAAGCATGAACTATTGTTGTAAAAATTCCCACATTTTTAACTGAAATTGTGCTTCCAAGGCGTAAAACAGCGGGTTTCCTTGAGAGCCGGGAAACAACATTTGCAATGGTTCTTTTCCAAAAATTTTAGAGGGTTACTTGGAGAGCTTTCCTAACATCCTATTCTCACTTTCTGGAAGAATATGAGTACTGACTTGTACATGGATGGTCGCCGCAAGTTTTTGCCTGATACGTGAGCAAGCTAAATCACACTACAATTTTAATAGAAATCAAATGCGGCGGTCATTCCCAAAAACGACTGCTCGTGTCGGAAACTTTGTATCGTTCAGACTCCTTCCCAATTTCTCAGGAGAATTGGTGAGGAAAAGCAATTGATCACAAAGTGACAAGGCTCGTGTTGGAGCAGGGTGAGTAGAGCAGCAACAGGCTTGCTTCAGAAACAAGATGTGACAGGATGCTATCAAAAAAATCGGTTCTAGACACAAGAGTTTTACTGGAGATTGCCTCGCCAGGCATTACATGATGCACTACACAGCGAAACTACGATATATACTGCTTATAAGAAGGGAACCACATCGGTCAAGACCTTATTTCATCCTTAATCGTTCACCGATTGCCTACAGAGTCAAATACTTATCCGAGGAGATACTCATGGATCACAGAGATCATGAGCTTTCAGCAACAAATGATTCATTTCTGACTGAATTTTTAAAACAAGAATCTTCTATGATCCACAAATCCCTCAATTATTCCATACAACTATGCTTTTTGCTTACACTTCGCTACACCCAAATGTGTGTTGCCCGTAATCTTAACAATGTCCATCCTTCGAGAGTTTACTCCTTTCCTCTACTAGGTTCATGACTTATCGACTTTTATGCAAGCGAGCAACTTGGCTAGGCAACCTAAGACTTGGACTAATGTTGTCGATCACTAATTACACCGTTATCAGGAATCCATATTCATAGATCTGCATATATTCACTTATGCAAATCATTTGACAACATTCTTAGCTTATTGATGGAGGACAGGTTATGTGGAAAATCATTTCAGAATTGAGAAATGTGTGGTCCCTTAGTGATCCGCGAAATTTTGTCCAGTGACATCACAAATCATTCTTAAAAGAGCCGGCTAAAAATGTCTTTTTAAGGCTCTCGTATATGCATGTGTATGTGCGTATGAGTCTGTGGGTTTGTGTATGTATGTGTGTGGGCACGTGTGTAAGTGTACATGTGTGTATGAGTGCCTGTGTGTGTCGTGCCCGTGTGCGTGCGTCTGTAGGTCGGTGTGCGAGGTGTGTGTTTGTTTGTGTTTGCGTGTGTGTGTGGTCTGCGTTTGGGTGGTTGTATGTGGGTATAAGCAGAATACTTTCATCTTGTTAGATAATACCATTTCCATTTATTGTTGTGCGCTTGTGCGCTGCTGATCCTGAATCTCCATAAGCTCGGTACCGAATCGGCCTTTGTCGCTTTCGTGACGGAAAGGTAATCTCGCTCCAGTTTGAAAGATGGCTGTGGAGAAGATGAGCGATTTAGCAAGACAGTTGTGAGCGTTACGCGGAAAGATTGAGGAAATCGAAGATTAGGGTATTGTTCGTTTGTTGCATCCAGCATGAGTTCGCGACGTAGTCTGTTGTTTTGACCACCTCCAACTTCCTGACCGAGCCAAGTATTTGCCTAAGTGTTTCCATGCCCATTCCAATTCCAATTTCAGCGCTATAGGTTCACGTAAAGAGGAATTATGAATTTCTGGTCAAACACACACACAGCGACACCGACATAATTAATTATTATTATCTCGCTATGTATATAACTCGGTAAGTGTGTCTGTTGGTGGGAGCGAGCAGAGAATTCTGTACATTTCTTAACCGACCGCCAGTGATCTGGAATTTTCAACTAATGATATCTCCGTAAAGGAAAAGGTCATTGATAATGACATACGATAGGGGTGTTATCATCTCTCGAAACAAACAAAATGAAGTGGGGAAAAGATCGAGACTTAAAAATGATGGCGTAAGCCCCATCTCACATTGGATGCCACTTGCACTGCTCTGTTGGTCCTGTGTCTAACTCGTGACAGGAAAATATTATTTGTTTCATCGTACGATTGGAGAGTTAGCCGATTACTACAATTTCGTCAAAGGAGAAGGGAAGCCCTGCGTTGGCTGGGCGAACTTACTGGTCATGATTATAGGTCCCATTATAATAATTATAATTTCATATGGTAAGGTTGTAATAATCTGCAAATCGGCCCCTCCTCATTTGGACAAATGATATTTTTCGGAAATTCCACAGAGTACTAGGGCATGCAAGATGATGCAAAATGAGCCGATGCTTATGCCTATGATTAGAGGTCTCAATCTGTTGTTGTCCATCTCGAAAATAATGACCTATCGAAGTGGTAGACAACCAAAGCCCTGGAACCTATAAATGTTCTAAAGCCATACCACTATCAAATGTCTTTATCAGTAGAACTTTCTTTTTCTACGGATATACCATTTAAGGAGGATCTAAGATTACCAGCGGTCGGAAAAGTTTTGCCAAGAATGATATCGAAGCGAAGAGAAACAGTGCTTCTTCATTGAGTCGCAAGCTTTACTACGTAGCCCAACCTAATAGCAAGGAATGAACGAATATCAAAGAGTCAAAGCTAGATCGTAAATAACAAGGCATTGGATTTGATTGATGAGTGGATCTTGTTTCTAAGGCCTCTCCCATCGCCCGTGTTCCCATCCTGCCTCCTCTAATGGCAAGCCCGCCCCTTGTGGGCGGAGTCTGGTCCTGCCACTCGTCATAAGTGTTCCCATCTCGCCGCTTGTGCTCCTAGCAAATTTGAACGCTCTAGGTTTACGGGAACAGGAGCTACATATGTTTTTCTGCTCAAACATTATTTCGCACAAACTCCGCCCCCTGCGGGCGGGATCCAGTTCTGCCACTACCACAAGTGTTCCCATCCTGCCGCATGTGCTCGTACCAAATTTTAACGCTCTCGGTGCACTGGAACAGGAGTTATGAATTTCCGGTCGGAACACACACTTACACCCACACAAGCATACATACACACACGCACAAACACTCAGACATTAGCGCTATATATAGTAGGATAGTGCTTCATCCATTACGATAACGAGGTGGTGTAGTGGCAAGTGGCGCACTACCTCACACGCACGGTCAGGGGATCGAATCCCGGATCGGTATCCGCCTGAGCCTGCCCCCTTCCATCCTTCTGACGTTGGTTAATTGGTACCAGACTCGTCTGGGAGGATAAAAGCACTGACTTGTACATCGGCTGGCTACAGCAAGTCATTGTATAGGCCACACACGCATTCAATTCGGCACTGAAAGGAAGTATAGTGCGGGGGCGCATCCCACAAACCGGATTGATTAACGCCAAAAACTTTATCCTTTACTTTATCCTTTATCCCATTGCATGTGGTACCTAGGTGTGTTGATGAATTATCTTTCGGATCAATTACTACTATCAATACAACATATGAAATTTCAACAAATACGTTTCACTGTTTTAGGGTATTGATCGTGCATCGGGGAATGTAAAATATGATGAAGTTGAAGGCGAATAAATAGACGAATCACCGCCTCGAGACGGTCTTTTATTTGTTGTATCAACGTTTCAGCACGTTTTGATCGTGTCCCCATCACCACTGGTTCTTTGTTCAGCACATCGATCAACTGCAATGCAGGAAAATTATCACCAGAATGCTAACCGAATTTTCTTAACTTTGTATCCTACAAGATCCAGAAGAGAAGGACTGTGTGGGAGTTGATTTCGAGTGTGTTAAGCGAGTCCAATGATGTAATAAAGGTCAGATTTCGATAACTGCTTTTTGAGCTACCGAAAACACAATTTTTACCCTTCGAGCACAAAGTTTATTCCTATAATCTTATCCCCCAAGATTAGAGAGCTGATATCAGGGAGGGATAGCCGAGTGGATAACAGTGTACGTCTACACTCAGAAAAAGTGTGAGTTCGACTCCTACCGGCAAAAATCCATGCCTTGCAAAAATTGCAAAAAATGGTATTGGTAAAAGCGTCAGGTCCAGGTTGGCAGGCCGGCGTCAGGCCCAGGTTAGCAGGAATATCTAAAGTCTCGAAGGTATCAGTGATAAAGCTAGGACGTCACCTGGAAGTGGCGCACAGGACGCCCGCCCGAGTCCTGCGAACAGTATGCGAGGGATACCGAGGAGTGAACGACCTCGGTCAATGAAGCTAGTTCGAATAGGGACTCTGAAAGTGGGATCGCTTACTGGAAACTCGCGAAAGGTCGCTAAAGTGATGAAGCGCAGGAACATTCAAGAATATTCAAGTCCTATGCCTTCAGGAGAGCCGCTGGAAAGAATCAAAGGCCAGATAAATCGGAGAGGACGTCAACCTTTACTACAACGGAAAGACACCAAACGGAACGGAATGGCCGTTGAAAGTGACTAAGTTTCCTCAAGACTCTGTCTCCGCCATCGAGAGGATCACCAGTCGAATCATGGCTGTGAGGATAGACACGGAGGGGGGTTACTGGATCATACTATCTTTGTACGCCACACAGGTCGGCTGCCCGTCGCCGAAAAGGATGAGTCCTATCTGAGCCTTTTCTCCGATAACGAAACGTTCCAGACCACATGATCTCTCTGGTCAGGGACATGTACGATGGTTCCACGACAACAATTCGCACCCCACACGGTCATACCGGAGCAATAGATGTCACGGTTGGGGTACACCAGGGATCATCTGAGCCCTTTCCTCTTCTTGCTCACGATGGGCGCCATCACAGAAGAACTCATAGATGGACTACGGAGGCCATCCTTTACGTTGATGACATCGCTCTGATAGCGGA